GTGGGGGGAGGACCAGGGAGGATGATTCAACCACTCAACCACTAGATGTCGCTGAAAACAACTAATCCTACACACTGTGCCTTTAAGCAGTTATTATCAATTAATTGTACCATAGTTTTAAAATAAAACTTTAAATTCACATTTATCTCTTTCCTTCCACCATTTTTTCTGCAAAACATCTGTACAACCTGGATAGAATCAACATTAAACATGTTGGACCCTAAAATCTGATCAGCTGCCATGATGCTCCTGTGTTTTTACTTCCACCCAGCCGCCGCCCACTTGCACCATTTGTTGTCATTATTGGGCAGCAGTAATTACAGAGGGAGCAGATTTTTATTCTAAGTGATTATTATCAGGCCCTAAATAGTCTTTTCAGTGCGTGCACARGTGTGTTTTCTTTATAATTACGCTGCAGGGTGGTAGGATAATTTACAGCAGGAACATCTGGATCTGGTCAGATATTAAGCAAATTTAAAAAAAACATTCAGACTGGGAAAAATGTAAATAAATGTAAATTTTTATTGTTTGTGAGATTAAAAGGACAGAACTGACCTCAAACATGTTTGATGATGCAAAGATGCTGAAACAGAAATCAGCTGTTCCCTTTCACTGCTGTGGGACAAACTAAAGCCACAACACTTCTGGGTTTGTGGGTCTAGAACTCTGGAGAAACGACTCTGAGACACTGAGGAGAGAGAGGTCTGGGCTCCCTCCTGGTCCTGCTACAGATGAATGATTTTTGATTTTAGCTCATAAAACTGAAAAAAGCTGAAGAAATTGCTGCAGTTTGATATAAAAATGACTGCAGACTCCAAACCTTTTGTCTTCAGTAAAAGTTGACATTTCTAATGAATTCATCACATTTTTATTTATTCAATAATCTGTCAACAAGGCTGAACATCTTCAGTCTTTTTGACAAATCGACACTAAAACTTTTGAGCAGAGAAACCATCTTAATTTAGAGGAAACCCCAAAGGACGATGATTTATATCTTATTACTGTTTCTCCACCAGATGTCAGCAGGAAGCAACTTCTCTGTTTTAAAAATGGAGGATCAGATGATGTAATCCTGTATTTTATGTCTGAAGACACAGAACAAGTTTGTCTGAGCAGGCTGTGGTTTAAAACAAGAAGCTTCATGTTCAAACTGTTTCATGATCCCACACAGATCTCCTGCAGAATCAACATTATTGTTGCCAAACAGCTTCTGTCAAATAAATTATTTTAATAGTTTAATGAATTTCAGCTTTTCATCATCTGATACATTTTAGTCTCAGGAAACAACAGTTCTGACGAACACAAAATGAAACAGAGAASAGAGAATTAACAGAGAAAAAAGGAGAATATTTATATTTCCTTGTTGATTCTCTCCCAGTTTTACTTTAAAAATGAGTCAAATTTCAACAAAAACCTTCTAAAATAATTTCGTTAAAAGTTCTTTGTAGAAACTTGGATGTGACAGTTTGGAACATTTAGRGGTGAACATGTTTTTATTTTAGCAGCTGCTTTATGACTTGTTGTTTATTTGTCTAAATTTAATTTAGCTSACTTCCTGTAAATGAGCACATAGACTGTGGCTGAGGATTTTACTGAACTGGGATTTTCCCTCGTGAGTTTCTAAATAATGTGTTTTTTATGGCTGTCTCCTGGTCTGACTCAGGTCTTAAAGGTAAATTAWTCTTCTGTGTTTCTGTCTCATACTACTGAAGTTTACATGCAGTGACCACTGGTTGTTTTTGTTTTATTGTAAAATTTACTTCAAAAAATGTTTCTAAAGAGGAAGAATGTTCTGATTTGTATGTTTCACCAAAATAAAGTGAAACATAAAACGTTAAAAAAGGTCACTAACACACAAGATTCTGTACTCTGTGACCATGGTTCTGGATTCTGTAACCATGGTTCTGTAGTCTGTGACCATGGTTCTGTAGTCTGTGACTATGGTTCTGGATTTTGTGACCATGGTTCTGTAGTCTGTGACCATGGTTTTGTAGTCTGTGACCATGATTCTGGATTCTGTGACCATGGTTCTAAAGACTGTGACAATGGTTTGGAAGTCTGTGAACATGGTTCTCTAGTCTGTGACCATGATTCTGTATTCTGAGACCATGATTCTCTAGTCTGTGACCATGGTTCTGGATTCTGTGACCATGGTTCTGGATTTTGTGACCATGGTTCTGTAGTTTATGTGACCATGGTTCTGTAGTCTGTGACCATGGTTCTGGATTCTGTGACCATGGTTCTGGATTTTGTGACCATGGTTCTGTAGTTTATGTGACCATGGTTCTGTAGTCTGTGACCATGGTTCTGGATTCTGTGACCATGGTTCTGGAGTCTGTGACCATGGTTCGGTAGTCTGTGACCATGGTTCGGTAGTCTGTGACCATGGTTCTGTAGTCTGTGACCATGGTTCTGGATTCTGTGACCATGGTTCTAAAGACTGTGACAATGATTTGGAAG